ATATATGTGTGTGTGTGTGTGTGTGTGTGTGTGTGTGTGTGTGTGTGTGTGTGTGTGTGTGTGCAGGTATGTGTATGTATGGCTGCACACACACATACACATATATATGTGTGATATATAAGTACTACCTCTGTCACTCCTCTACATATTTTCGAAATATATATATTATATATATATACATATATATATATATATATATATATATATATATATATATATATATATATATATATACATATATATATAAATAAGGAGTTTCATAGGTAATACAACTAATACAGACAGATGAAGGGAACACAGGGGAGAGAGCACGAAATAGAGCGTTGAAAAATCGAAAAAGCGAAATCGTTCTAGAAGCCAATTAGAGTCACACTGACCCATATGCTACGCCCATAGAGGTAGCCCAGGCCCGCCCAGTCTCATTCGCGCGGGCGTGGACTTAACCGTTATTTTTTTTCCCGCGGCTGGCTGGTTAACGGACATGCTCTCTGTTGCTTCATTTTGTCGTCTTTTTGTACTTGTGCGATTTTCGTTTTTTTTTCTGTTTTTTCTTTCTTTTTGTTTTGGGCTATTTCTCTTGCTTTCGGACTATTTATTTATGTATTTTTCTCTCTTTCTTTTTTCTTTCTCGCTCTCGCTCTCTCTCTCTCTCTCTCTCTCTCTCTCTCTCTCTCTCTCTCTCTCTCTCTCTCTCTCTCTCTCTCTCTCTCTCTCTCTCTCTCTCTCTCTCTCCCTCTCTCTCTCTCTCCCTCCCTACGCCCTTGCACTACCGTCTCTTGCCCGCGGGTCGAAGGCAACAATAAAAAAGAAAAAAAAAAAAAAAACGATTAGCGGCGAACCTCAACCGCCCTTCTCGACCTCCTTCCCTCGCCCTCAACCCTTTGACAGTTCGACCTCGACGCCCCTCGCCGCAGAAGTGGCTCGGCGATGACCTGGGAGTGTGGTTCTCGACGTTTTGACTTTTTTTTTACCTTTTTTTTTTTTTACTTTTGACTTTTTTTTTATTTTTTTGACTTTTTTGACTTTTTGACTTTTTTTTGATTTTTGACTTTTTGACTTTTTTTTGACTTTTGACTTTTTTTTTTTTTGACTTTTTGACTTTTTTTTTTTTTTTTTTTTGACTTTTTGACTTTTTGACTTTTTGACCTTCTGGATCATATATGACCTGGGAGTGTGGTTCTCGACATTTTGAGACTGCTACTGAATCAAGGCATTTGGAACTATGAACAAAAGTTGAAGAAGAAGCAGGAAAATGATTATTGTCCTTTTATAGATAATGCAAATTATTATATTATTATATATCATATTATATTATAATATAGATAATGGAAATAAAATAGATGAATATCATTAAAAAATATAATAGATAATGCAAATAAAAATAGATGAGCGGATTATTATATTATATATCATATTATATTATATTATAATATAGATAATGCAAATAAAATAGATGAATATCATTAAAAAAATACTATAGATAATGCAAATAAAAAAGAGATGAGCGGCCTGGGCAATGGGACCGAGACAACACGGGAAAAATGCGCGGTGAGTGTCTCCTTATTTGGTGTGGCACAGGACGCTATGCCAGGCAGTGAGATCGGGCCTTTGTTTATGACAGGTCGTGGGAATCGGGACTTTTTTTTTATACAGTGCTGATAGACAGTTTGGATTTTGATATAAAACAGAAACAGGACATACACATACATATACGCATACACACATACACACGCACACACACACATACACACACACATACACACACGCGCACACACGCACATACAACGCATACACACACATACACACACACACACAAATACACACACACACAAGCACACAAATGCACACACACAACACACACATATATATATATATATATATATATATATATATATATATATATATATATATATATATATATATGTATATATATAGAAAGAGAGAGAGCGAGAGAGAGAGAGAGAGAGAGAGAGAGAGAGAGAGAGAGAGAGAGAGAGAGAGAGAGAGAGAGAGATGAGAGAGAGAGAGAGAGAGAGAGAGAGAGAGAGAGAGAGAGAGAGAGAGAGAGAGAGAGAGAGAGAGGCGATAAATGCAAAGTGGGCCACCCGGAGAAGAGAAGTCGGAGGCGCTGGAAGTAACGGTGCACGCCCGACTGCCTCTGTGTGTGCTATGTTACCGCCCCCCCCCCTTTCTCCCCCTCCCGTGTGGAGATTCCGACACACTGACTCACATTCACCGCTTAGCCGGTTATAAGGGAACACTATGCTGGCTTATCGGACTCTCCAATTTCTCTCTTGAGGAAAAGGGATATTTTTTTTTTTTTCTCTTCGGTGTAAAGAGGAAAATTCGCGAGTAACGTTCGAGGAGGTCATACAGCGTGACCTCTGGAAAGGAACTCGCGCAAACACCGTTGTGACCTCTAGCTTGGTGTTACGAGTACGTGCCAGTGACATGCTCATCATAGTTCCATTTATTTTTATATATATATATATTTGCAATTACCAGGAGAACATGTTTCCTGTTTTCACTTGTCCACCGTCGTCCACCTTCGCCTTCCAGAGTCGTCCACCTTCGCCTTCCACCGTCGTCCACCTTCTACTCTGAAGGATAAATACGAGGGACTTGACCTTGGCATCGGGCTTATCCGGGCGCCTTCGATAGGCCTGTGCCCTCTCGGCGGCGTCGGAGCGAAAGTGAGGGTCGGGAGGAGGAGGGGGGCGTGTCGGTCGCCAGGAGCGCGCGCAGTGAGAACGCGTAATTCGGCGGCCGCGCAGGTCTCCTTCCTCAGGCGGACCCCGTCAGTTGCGACTGCTGCTCGCTCGTGACTGGAACTCGGGTCGAAGTGCCTTTAGAAACCAAGCTGTGGCGATTCTTGCTTTCGTCGACTGAGCTCGCGGCATCATGTTCGACACGCGGCTGAGACCGTTTCGAAGCGTCCGCAGAACCAGAAGGCGTTTTCAACCCTCCGTCTGGATATTAATAATCGTCATCAGCTTCGCGAATGGAGTTTGCGGCGAAGACACTCCTCCCGAGGGCGCCGTGGCCGAGGGACGCATCCTGGGCCTCGACGTGGGAGACGAGAACACCAACTTCCAGGCGGGGATGTGGCTGCTGGCGCTCGTGAGCCTCCTGGCCACGGCCATCCCGGCGGTGTTCCTGGACCCCAGTCTCGGCTTCAGGAGGCGGAGGCGGCGGCACGCGGCTCACGAAGGGCACCGCGACGCAGACGACGACGCCGGAACTGCGACGCTCGGGGAAGAATGGAGGAGGGTCATGACGATGGTGCGAAGGGCGGCCGGAAGTTACGGAAGATGACGACAGACGGTTAAGGTGACAAGAACGTGAAAAGATGTCGCCGAAGAGGGCGCGCTTTTCAGTTGAAAGTGAATGAGTGGCAACTCGGGTTGTGAAAGGATTGTAAGTGAATTGTGGAAGGTTGTTTATCTACGCCTGTGATACATGTCGGGAATGTAATTGGCATTATACTGTATTCTTCTGTAAATGCTAAGGCGATATTTATATGAAAGAAAGGTAAATAAAAAGAACTTTATTTCATAGTTTTAGTTTAATTTCCTTCCGGCAAAGTGGTTCTCCGCCGGACACCCTGCGGCCGTCCCACGCCTCCTGCCACGACAAGCACGGCAATGCGCATGTATTTGTTTGCCGACATAGACAGCGAAATATATTCACAAAAATCAGTTATATGCATAAACAGATATACATACAAACATACACACACACACACACACACACACACACACACACACACACACACACACACACACACACATATATATATATATATATATATATATATATATATATATATATATATGTGTGTGTGTGTGTGTGTGTGTGTGTGTGTGTGTGTGTGTGTGTGTGTGTGTGTGTGTATATAATGCCATATATATATATATATATATTATATATATATATATATATATATATATATATATATATATAGTATATATATATATATATATATATATATATATATATATATATATATATATATATATATACATACATACATATATATATATATATATATATATATATATATATATGTATATATATTTACATAAAAGTCTCCACCTTCCCCTCCCTCCCCCTTTCTCTTTCCCTTTCCCTTCCTTTTCTCCCTCTCCCCTCTTTCTTCTTTTCGTCCCTTTTCTTCTCCTCCTTCCTCTCCTCTTTCGCTCTAATCTTCCTTCTCGACCTCCCCCCTTCGTCGTGGCAATACGAAACGAAGGCTAAAAATGGTTCCAACATTAATGATAATGATTATGGTAATTTAATAGTTATAATGGTGAAAATAATAGTAATGATATGATAGATGATGATAATAATAGTAATGATGATATTGGAAATGATAGTAATGATGATAATGATAATAATGATAATAACAACAGTACTAATGATGTTAATGATGATATTGATATGATGATAATTATTATTATAAGAACACTAGAGAATAATGACGGTGATAATGATAAAGATTATATAAGTATGATGCTGACAAGTGATGATGATGATGCTGATAATAATTACAATGATGATGATAATAAAGATAATGATAACAATAATAAAAAATCATATAAGATTCATTCAGTACCTAAGCCATATAGCTTAGGAGTACAAAGTGATATACTGCGTGAGGAGTAAGAAAATAATCGGTATATGAATAATAATGAAATATATTATCACCTAAGCGGTATCTACAGCCTCTGATACCACGAAATAATAAGAAAAAGATAAATAAGTATATAAGACGCATCCAGAATGTCTTGTTTTTGTTTTATTTAAGTATCTAGTAATGATGATTTATTTTATATTAGTAACGCTATATTAGAAATATTTTTCCTACATTTTAATATAAATTAAAATTTTTACTATTTTTTTGATAGTGGTAGGTATATCGGAGCAACAGTACACCAATCTATTCGAAATATAATAAGTAACAATATCCGCTTTGTAACCCGTACCTAGTGAAGGCTAAACAACGTTTAAAGGAAGTAAACAACAACCGCATCTCTTTCAAGATAAGCAAGAAAAACTAAATTAGAAAGACTTTTCATAGTTTAAGCTTATTTCCTCGAGCAAAGGCGAGAAAGATGGATAGTCACGAAGAAGATGGGGAGATAATTGATGAAGGAAGGCACCACATTCACGCGTCTAACGATGATCACGAAGTCGAGGAAGATGAATTCAGGTAATTTTTTGTTTTTGTTTTGTTTTTATTGAAGGAGTGTTATGTTTTTTATGTGTGATGTATTTCGTCCTTTGAACATTTGGATCGTGGCCTGTGTGTTTGCTTTTTTTTTCTCGAAACGTGGTTTTTCTTGTGGCTCTTGATGTGAATTGGTTGCAATTGAGAGCTGTCTCTTGGGGTACATACCAGACTATAGAGTATTTTTCTTGCACGGAGGAATATTACATTTTTTCATGTGCGGAAAACATCATTTTGTTTACATTTGCGGAGACAAATGATGAAACAAGTGCGTGGAAAGGTCAAAAGAATTTCATGCGCTCAAGATGATGTAGTAAATAACTAAGCGTGCACGGAAAGTTACCCGAGAACTGCACTTGCGCGGACAGAATATGACCAAGTAATTTTTGCGCAGACCAAACTACAGTCTGGGGTACATAGTCCTTGTCCGAGACCCCCCCCAGCCCTCTGGTGCCCATACCGGAGAAGAGCTGATATTGGGGTATTTTTTTTTTTTTTTTTTTTTTTTTGCAAAACCATACATTGTAATTTTTATTTTTCTCCAGTCATTCACAGTGTAATAAGAGTGAATTGCTCATAGATTTCCAATGCTAGTGACTGGTTCAGGAAATAAGTGAAAGTAATGGTTACTGTTTGTGGTGATTTTTTTCTAATATGTCCGCATAATGGGTCGTGATGATTTAGGCATTCTTTTTACTCTTCTTTGGATTCTCCTTATTCTATAATGCAAATATGTAGGTTATACTCCATTGGCAACGTTCCTCCTGCATGGCAGTCGTATCCTCTCTCCTGCTGTCTGTTTGGAAAATTTTTTTTTTTGTGGACTCGTTGTATGGGCTACGACCTGTGAGCAAAGGACATTTATGGCGCTAGCAACAGTAATAGTTTTTCATCAAAGTTTTAAACCTGTGAGCAGTGAACTACAGGCAATGAACAGCGAGCGACCAGAGGTTTTTGTTTGATATTTTGTTGTTGCCAGATTTTTATAGTAAAGAATTATATAAATACCAGTTAAAAATATCAAAAGTGTAATATTATTAAATGATTACTTTAAATAATTGTATGAATATTAAGAAGGAGGCATTGATGATTACAGAATACTCATTTTCAAAATTGTTTAGTAATACATGAACTAATTGGAATATTGCTGCAAAGTTCTGTCAGTGTAGTACTTATCCTCACAATGTGAACATGATGAGCGAGTAACAAAAATTCGGGCACTCTTCTCTGACAGGGGGGCACAGTCAAATAACAGTGGCAAAAATGCTCAAGTAATGCATAACCCAATTAATCATTACATCATGAACACAGTAAAATCTGAAGACAGTATTTTTGTAGATTACTAAAAGTTGCAGATGTTGGCACAAGAAATAATCTGCAGACATGAATGTTAATACCACCAATTTGCAACCTAAGTCCACTTGGTGCTTCCGAATTTAAGCTTTATCTTGCCGTGCATACCAAATTAGAAACAATGTTTCTGGGGGTATTGCCCCCATCAACTCTCCCATCTGGCAGTGCCTGAAGAGCATGCTCACTCATGACAACTTTTATAAGGAATCCAATGATATCAAATTTGACAGATTTTATAGTGAGAATGCATTTTAGAAAATGACTTTCTGATTGTGTGTTCTACAAAATTACCAACAGATGTTAAGAATTATGGCAAATCTATGATTTCTGAGTTAGGAGCCTCTATCTTCTCGATCCAGCAAGATTGGTAGTAAGTGGGAAATCAGAGTTCTGGGTAGGGGAGTGAAGAGACTGCGTTTGATTTACGCCTGATGTGAGGTAGAAATTTAAACTTCATGATGTACTTACAGTTTACTCCTGTCTGGAATACTATATGCATGACTAGATAGTTATATCCCCCTTTTTTATGTGGAGAAAGGGCTCCCATTACCAACCCCTCTGAAGACTGACTTTGGTACTCAAAGGGTTAAACACTTATTTGAGGCAAATGATAACCTGTGAAGTGCGAACTCAGTCTTAGGAGGGTATGAGCGCCAGCCAAAGCTAAATTGATTTAGTAAAGCCTTCATGAGTTTAAAATTGGCTATAATTGCATGTGCTAAAGATTGCATGTTTCTATGAGCCCCCCAAATTAAAATATGACCGAATAGTGAAAATTGTGCTGACAAGAAAAAAATCTTATCCCTTTGGCTGTTCTTATTAATTCATTTGCACATCTGAGTATGAGTGTATAAAAAATATTTGAGTGATTCAGGGCAGTTTGTTTCAAGCCTTCTTTATTTATCTACAGTATGTCATCCTACGATGGTGACCAAGGAGACAGCCTGGATATCAAGCCTCCTCAAGCGGTTGTCCAGCGACGGGAGAAACGAGAAAAGCGTGAGAAGAGGGATCGCCACCGTCACAAGGGAGAGCGCCACAAAGACCGCCACAGAAGCCGCGAACATCGGAGCCACGAGGAGCGCAGACGAGAGCATCGACGACACAGGTACTGCATGATCATGTTCACAAATGTAGAGAAATAGTTACTATGCCTGTTTAGGTTGTTTGACTTATTGTCTATAGTTTTATAGATAAATTTTATGTATGTGTTGATTGTTGATATCCTTTTGAATCCCTAGGGATCGCGGTGATGGAGGTGAAAGGAGGGAGAACCGTGATGGTCGTAAGCACAAGGACAGAAGTAGCAAGCACGAGAGGCCAGTGGTTGATCTCCGAGCGAAGTTGGACAAGGGGAGGAAGATGGTTGACAGAGAAATGGTAAGGAATTTAATGGTGATTACTGAGGTGCATGGAAGAGAAGTAATACTCTATAGCACTGAAGGTTATCACAAATTAGAACTGTGTCACTTGCTTCTGGAATATTAAATGTTTTTATTTGCATGTGGAAGCATACAATTTTTTTTTTCTTACTTTATCAGCTAACTTGTTTTACTTCAGTTTTTAAGAGGGTGTTGATACCTCTTTCATATATCTTGAAATGTACAATGTTTTATATTCTTGCTAAACTTTTATGAACTGGGATGGTCATCCTAATAAGAAAGTTCTTAGGTTATGTAGATTTTTTACTTTTCCTTTAGAGCTTTAGGTAAGCGCACACAGCTGCTGTATCATACCAGTGATCATGGCCTCAATAATGTTCGCAGGAACGACGAAGAGACAGAGGACGAGACATTGAATACTACATTGATGAGAAGGACCAGTACGAACATCTCGATTACCACCGTGAACATTCCAGTCGAGGAGGAATGGGAAGTGGGGGAATGGGTGCCAGCGAGCATCCTGCCTATGTGCATCATCGAAGAGAAGATCGCATGATGGTCCAACTCTCGCCAAGGGAAAGAGCAGAACGAGAACGAAGAATGGAAAGGTTCCTAGTGGCAGGTGTGTGTACATTTTATTCCATACAATTGTGCATTGTAAGTAAACTTGCTTTGTCTTGATGTGTATTGATTTTGGTGGATGTATAGGTAGATGTGTTGTGAGTAGCAAAACAGAAAGGTTGTAAGGACTGCTACTTGTTATGGCAAAATATTTCCTAGCAACAGATCACGTAAGAAAAGTATGCGCTAGCTATTATATAAGTTTGTTTTTGCTTGTCCATCCAACTTTGTTTTAAGTGGCAGCTTTGTTGAAACTATTTAGTTTAATGAATTATTGCTTTTCAAAATGCTGAAATTCATAATAGAAAAACAAGTTAGAAAAAGAAGACTGTAATTGCTTGAGAGCAAGATTTAGGTTTTCCTTTCTCCTAAAACGGATTTAAAAAACTTTTCTAAGATTTAAACCCTTCAATTACTAGGCATATTCACAAGTACAAGTAAGTTGCATGTTAAGTTTACATTGATGTGACTGACTGTTACTCCACTTATAGAAAGTTTCCTTTCTTGTATTTGAATGACAGGGAGTAGCAGGTATAACAAAGGCCATAGTGTTGGTTATGGTGCTGACAACTGGCTGACACACAACACAATTTCCCAAGCTCATGCCTGTTTTCAAAATGGTATGCATTCCTTATTTTGAAGAGATCTGTTTCTCTGTTTCTTTCTCGGTGCTTCTCAGGGATATCAGTCTGTGACATATGTGTTGAAATGTATATGTGGACAAATGTGTGTAAGAAGTTATATTTATGTTACTTGGGTATGATACATATTTGATACATATACAATATACATATGATATGGGTATAGATTTAAAAGTTGCATAGGACATAATTACAATATAAACATCAGATATGTGTATTTGATAAATACGTGTGATAGATATTTATACATTTACGTATCTGTATGTCCACCTCAATATATCTTGGAGACTGATAACAGGACGGCTGGAAGGGGCGTAGCGAAGAATGTGAGCAGGTGATTGATAATGTATCCATGTGAGATATATGTGGCTTTCATTACTGCCCTTTTTTATTATTTGCGTAGTCGGCAGGAGTGGGGAGTACAGCTCTCAGAGTGGGGCAGGGATAGACCAACGCCGCCTTTTGGGGCACGCCGCTGGATAACCAGAGCGTTCTGATTGCGGTCTTTAAATGCTGTAGATACCGAGAGGAGTTTATGATGTAGGCATGAGGGGTATTAGGAATGAATAATGATTGTGGATTGTCCTGTGTAGGCCATGCCTGTTATAAGAGGCATGGGATGCTGGCAACTTATGTAACCATTATACCTGGATCCAAGGGGTTAGTATATATATATTTTTACATAGTATATATATATATATATATATATATATATATATATATATATATATATATATATATATATATATATATATTTGTATTTATATATGTACATATCTGCGCATATATATATGTATATATAAGTATATCTATATCTATTTGTCTGTCTGTCTGTCTGTCTGTCTGTCTGTCTGTCTGTCTGTCTGTCTGTCTGTCTGTCTGTCTGTCTGTCTGTCTGTCTGTCTGTCTGTCTGTCTGTCTGTCTGTCTATCTATCTATCTATCTGTCTATCTGTCTATATATCATATGTATATATATATGTATATGTATATATATTTGTATATATATGATATATGTATATTTATTACTTTAACATTTTAAGGATCCATAGGATGTGGTTTATTTTGAGAAGCAACATGATAAAAGTTGATAAAGGATTATGTTTAACATTGTTTCAGGGAGAAAAAAAATAAAACGAAATAATGCATATGTATAGATGTGTGATATCTGTTTGATTTAAAGCACAAATTTCTTAGTGTGTCCCTCTGTCTCTCTCTGTCTCTTTTCATGTGTTGCTTTCCAGTTTTTTACCTTCTTTTTTAAATCATTTTTGTAGCCTACTTGATTTGATGGTGTGGGAGCTGAAAACAATTGATCCTATACCAAACATTTGTGTGTGTCTGGGATAATTTAGCTTTCCATATTGCTTTTTCTATGTCCTTCGCCGTATTGGGAAATATAGGCCCTTGTTAACGTATCTGGTGCCATAAGAGGTCTTGAATATATTTATTTATTGATTGATCTATATGCCTTAGGAAGTGATGACAGATATTGAGTGAGTTTCAACTGCATGTGCACTCTTTTGATTGTGGGTAAAGGAAACGGCTGTAAGATTTCACTCCGTTGTGTCTTATAGGATCACATCCTACGCTTGAATATGTGTTATTTTATGTTTTTTTATGTAAAGACACAGTTACTTCGCAAACAATATTCATGTAACTTAACCCAATGTCGACGGGAAAATGGTGCGTTCACTTTGGCAATGCTTGGTTAAATGTTTCTGCATATAGATGGCTCTGCCAATGCTTAGCCACAAAGGAGTCAATTAGTAGATCTTGCGACATAACTTTTTGTTGAAAAAGTGTGAAAACTTTTTTTACTTAAGCTATCAATATTGACACTTGTTTTTGTTATAAACATTATAATTACTATATTGTTACTGATATTAATAACAGCTTTATTAAATACTAGAAACTATTTATCAAAAATCAAGGAAAAGGGTAAACAAGTGAGACAGGTAGTTCACGTAATTGGTTCATTGGTGACAGTACTTGTGGAGCCATCAGTACGTAAAAACAATTACTATATTCAACTCCTACAATGGGCAATGACATGTACGTACCTGCTATGGCCGCCTGCTTGGGGGTTGATTATTGAATTTTTAGATATATGAATAGATATATTTTCTGAATATTTGGGATTTTAAAACTACTTGCTGGATGACAAATTCTTTATTATTAGAAGTAGAAATAGAAGTAGTAGTGGCAGCTGTGTTTGTAGTTGTAGCAGTAGTAGTTGCAGTTGCAGTTGCAGTTGCAGTTGCAGTTGCAGTTGCAGTTGCAGTTGCAGTTGCAGTTGCAGTTGCAGTTGCAGTTGTAGTTGTAGTTGTAGTTGTAGTTGTTGTAGTTGTAGTTGTAGTTGTAGTTGTAGTTGTAGTTGTAGTTGTAGTTGTAGTTGTAGTTGTAGTTGTAGTTGTAGTTGTAGTTGTAGTTGTAGTTGTAGTTGTAGTTGTAGTTGTAGTTGTAGTAGTAGTAGTAGTAGTAGTAGTAGTAGTAGTAGTAGTAGTAGTAGTAGTAGTAGTAGTAGTAGTAGTAGTAGTAGTAATAATTGATTATTATTTTTTATGCTATGTAGTTATTTCAATTTGTTGACATGTTACCGATTAGCATTGTGATTTATTTGAAATAATCTTTTGGACTTTGACAGATATTTAAGAGTGCCATTCTTTTTCACACAGAAAAGCAGAAAGAGTTGTCGCAACGTGAGGCAGAGTCCCGCAGGCAGAGAAGAGAAGAAGAGAGAAGGGAAGAGCAGCAAATGGTAAGGCACCGTGGGGACATACAGTACAGGCACTCGCGACCACACTCTCCCATGGAGATGCATAAAAAGCGCAAATACCATCACCAGGATCACTATGCGGTTGCAGGTTAGCATTTCGTATTCTTTGGTTTGGAAGGAAGTTCCAAATATGATTTAGAGTGAAAAGGGCATATGTGCATATGCATACATACCTGTTATCGATAGGGTAGGTTGTCTTGTGTAGATATACTTGTGATGCAAAATCTTATCAATTTTGTAACCCACCATGGAAAATGTCCTTGATATTTTGGATATTTGTTAACCCCATTGAAAACAGTATGCAAAAAAAAAAAAGAAAAGAAAAGAAAAAAAAAAATAAAAATAATTTTATGCTTCCTATGCAAATGAAAATTTGTACCCTGCACCTTTTAAAGCTTAGGAATCCAAAAATCACACTTAGAATATCGTGAAATGAAGCCATTTCCTGAAACCATTCATTGGTTTCAGGAAATTTTGAGTCAGTTTTTTTCTATGTCTCCCTAAACATATAGTTGAAAGAAAAGTCTTTTAACTGTTTAAAAACACCAAGAGAACCAATTGTATATGGAGGAGACAAATGATTTTTACAGTTGAAAAAACTGTGATTTCTTTAAAGATTTGCCATTGTACATAGATTGTTACTAATTAAAAAAAAAAATTTGCTTTCAAGCAGGGCCTCAAAAATTCAAACACACATTCAATGAAAACATTATTTGTTTTTTGTTAATTATTCCACATTCTAAGTTTTGATATTCTTATAACAGAAATAAGAGAATCACGATTTCCTATACATTATTTGAGAGTTAACGTATATATGTCTTTAACAGATGGGATAGATGAGGTGACTGTCCTCAGCGAAGAAGAGGAGGATGGTGAGTACGAAGACACTGTTATCAGCCATGATGAGAGGAAAGGCTCCAATGAGAGAAAGTCAGATGAAGATAGAAAGAAGAAGAAGAAGAGAAGAAAAGAAGTCGATGATACAGTGAAGGAGGAGCCCAGAATGGAGCAGTCCGACACAGCGGGGAGTGGCTCGTCTGACAGCGAATCGGATTCGGGTGAGTTCCACGTGTATTGTTGGTTATAGTGTTAGACTACTGCCGGAAGAGGGTTGCTTTGCAGTTGTTGAGAAAGAGAGTAGAGCTTCATTAGCAGATAGAAAAGAGGCAGGACTGCGAGTCGCCTCTGTGATTGGTTCTGAGAAACTAGGGGCTACCAAGGGAATTGGGGAAAGGTGGTGATTGTGACGGGGAGTTCTCAGGTTATCCTTACTGAGTTCCTTCACACATAGAAAAGACACAGGAACAGAACCAGGATGCATTCATTTGGAAGGGTGTAACTGAAAGAAACTTTCCAAACACTACTAGCATTAGATCCTTACACTCTCTCCCGCCTGTCAATTTTTGAGAGGCGAGACTCAGGTGAGCACCTTGGGATCAGGTGTAAAAACTGAAAGAGTTACCCAATGGAATGCTGCTGGAATTCAGGAATCGAGGATCACCTGATTTCCAGATCAGGTGGTCACTGGAGTTTAGAGTCCAAACATCTGCATGCTTTTGGGATTGTATTTTATACTTCTGCAGTGTTAAAACAGAATTTGGACTATTTTTACTGAATATGTTATTGCCTCTAAGTATTATATCTCCAGTGTAAATTTTGCCAACAATTTTAGAATATTAAGAGCCATTATAGACTTTTCCAGTAAAAGTTAAAATTGAATGTGTGGCATTGCAGAAATAGACAAGGAGAAACAGAAAGGAACATAAAAGGAAGGAAAGTAAATGGGGAATGGCATTTACAATACACTGTCATTGATTACGACAGCCCTCTCATCCTTACTTACCCAAGCTTATTCATTTACCTAATACAACAGAATTGATTGTATAGTGATATCTTTATTGCACTTTGATGAGTTCATAGAGTCCTAAAAACAGTACCGAGATACGTGGGGTAATAGGAAAAAGGACTAAGAAAGCTAAATAATTTAACTCAGAATTCATTAGGAAACAAGGTAAGATGACTACCAGGACTTTTGTGCCAACTGTCTCCTTGTAAATAATTTCTTTGTCCTGTCTTTGTGTGCACAATGAGGAAAGCATTTTCGTGTGATTTGCTTCACAAGTCAACAAAGTTTAACGGCCATTTATAGGGTATGTATACTGTCTGGAGGATATAGCTTTTATATATTTTTTGGTTAGGGTTGGCAGTAAAGGTTAATATTTCTGTATATTACATATACAGATATCTTTGGAATATGTATATTACAGGTTAGGATGGAGAATCTACCACTTAACTTTTACCTGTATTTTTAGTTAAAAGGATGCTGTTTCAAGTTGGGTATCATTACGTTCTCTAAATAATGTGCTGGAAAAAAAAACAAGTTAAACCTTTATTGTTTTAGGTTCTTTGGTTTAAGAGATGTGCAGCTGGGAACCTGTTTTGAAGTACATGCAGTAATTGGGACCTGGATGATTTATTGTAGAAGGATATATGGACTGGAGCAACTAAAGAGGCACACAACGACTTTATTAAATGCATGAACAGTCTCACAATATGGGAATTACGCATTGCTCTCTTGGTCATGAAATGTCTTCATCTGATAATGATTTCTTTATTTGTGGATATTGCAGATAATATTGGATTGAAGGCAGAGGCACCTGGTGATATATCCCTTCCCCTAGTGAGAATATAAGCAATGATGACAATTATAGAATAAAATGATTATATTAATAGGTAGAGATAATATTATGTAAGCTTGATATGATTTTAGAAAATGTATGAATAAGAATTAATACCTTCATATTGCAAGAGATGCATTTGACCAGTTTCAGTTATATCTTCCCAAGAAATATAATCAAAACAGGTTAAATACACCTCTTGCAGAGTGAAGATACTCATTCTCGTTCATGACACTTCTACATTTGTTACAGTGATAAGATTACAGTTGGCATTGCTATTATTAACATTAACAGTATCATTTATTTTGTTATAATAATAATTATTTTAAGTGTTATTGAGTACTCCCCTAAGATAAGATATTGCAGATTGTTATATAACAATGAATGTAAAATTTTGTGGTAATTCTCACAATCATAAAAACAAATTAATTAGGACTGAGACCAGAAAAAGAAAGTTGCATTTGAAGCTGTTAATGATATGGTGTGTACAGGAAAGAGACAAGTGTGAAATAGTTTTTCTTGATGCATATATTGTTTTATAGATGTCACTGATATGAGTTTTAGGGGAAAAATTGCATTATGTAGATATAAATCATATCTTTTGGCTTTGTGTGTGTGTCCATTTATGTGTGCAAGCTATTCATGTGTGTAGATTGATGAATGGACCTCTGATTGTGTGTCCATGCAATTTTGTGTGCTTGGTATTGCTTGTGCAAGCAATTGTATTGTGTGTGCATGTGGGTGTATGTGTATATAAGTGAGTGTATATGTATATTGGTGTGAATGTGTGTAGAAGTGTATATATATATGTATGTATATGTGTGTATGTGTGCGTGAATGTATGTGTGTGCTAGTGTATGTGTGAGCGTGTGCATGAATTATGTGTGAAAGTACATAAGATCTATATTTGGTTTATGTATATTTTTCCATTGTTTGCATGGCGTGTGTATAACATTCAACCGTATATTTAAAATATTTGGTATATAAATAATAATTATTCTCTGTAATGTGTTATTTTGAGTATCCCCTGAGATAAGATATTGCGATTGTTATATAAATGAATGTAAATTTTGTGGTAATATCTCACATTTTATCAAAAAAACAGAAATTAATTAGGACTGAGACAGAAAAGAAGTTGCATTTGAAGCTGTTATAAATAATTGAGTGTGTTACAGGGAGAGACAGTGTGAAATAGTTTTTCTGATGCATATTTGTTTTATAGGCATATTGTACTTGAATATGAGTTTTAGGGATAAAATTGGATAAAATGATATGAATATATCTTGTTTGTGATTTTGTGTGTGTGTCCTCATTATGTGTGCAAGCTAGTTCATGGTGTTGTAGTAATTGATGAATGGAAGTACGAGTGTATGTAACATGGTACGCAATTTTGTGTGCTTGTATTGCTGTGCAAGCAATTGTATTGTTGTGTGCATGTGGGTGTAATGTTGTATTGATAAAAGTGAGTGTATAGTATATTGGTGTGAATTGTGTGTAGAGTGTATTATATATATATGTATATGTGGTATGTGTGTATTGTTTGATGTGTAGCGCTAGTGATATGATGTGGGTAATTTTGCATGAATTATGTGTGAAAGTACATAGATCTTAATATTGCTTTATGTATTTATTTTATAGTATTGCATGTGTGTGATGTATGTAGGGGTAGTGGATGTGTGTGAGGTGGGGGGAGGTAGGTTAGTACACACTATATATACAATGAATTATGTATATATATATATATATATATAATATATATATATAGTATATATATATATATATATATATATATTATATATCTTAGCCTGATTGAAGAAAGAACTTCTCTTATACAGATGAGTTTTTTTTTTAAGATAATGAGATTTTTGCTGAATTGTGTGACTTGTATGAAAGAGAGATGCTTTGGAGGCCCGATAGCTTATGCTGAATAACTGTACAAGGGAGGCATAACGTGTTTTGCGTCTTTGTGTATTGCGCGCTTAAGATGGAGTGTCCAGAAATTATGTAGCAGAGTCTGTGTATACGATATTCCAAGTAACATTACTCTGCAAGTCTACAAATCTCTATCCTCAAACGAGAGGGTACGCTCACCAACACCACACTCATCAAGGAGAACTTTATAGAGATAGAAGTTGTACTCTCTAGATATTTTCGAGATATTCTGTAATACCGTAGTGTGACTCTGTTTGTGTTTTGGTTCTTAGAATAGTTGTATGCAAGTAAGTGGTGTGATATAGCAAATTGCTTTTGTAGATTTGTAATTTTTATTTTTTTCATGATATTTTTTTCTAGAATGTATACTTTAGAAAATAGTAAATGTGTGGGAATGTTTTGACGTTAGGATGATTAAAAGCTAACTGATCATACTATATTTTTTGATATTTTAATAGACAATGTGTACACACAAACACCCAACACACTACACACATATTATCACAACACCACACACAATATCATAAGATTATTTGTTATTTATTCCACATATCTAACCAGCACACAACAACCACACACACTCACTCACACACACACAGACACACAGTCAACACACATAACACACACAACATATACAGACATAATATATATATTACTAAATATATATATATAGTATATATATATATATATATATATATATACGTATATATAAATAGCGAGAGAAATCATTCATAAATAGTATAATATAGTAGTATTATTATATTATTATATATATATATATATTAAGTATGTATGTTATTTATAATATATAATATATATAGGTATATAATATATAATACTTAGTTTTCTTTAGTTTTATATATACTAGCTTTTTTAATAATATATATCGTATATATTATTATCTTTATTAGCCTACGTTTTTTGCCTCATTACAGCTATCTCATTATATGTTGCCGTAAGTTATATGTATCTGATATGTTTATAAGTTATGTATTTTTGATTAGCATTGGCAACTTAATGTATATATTTTCTATTTTGATATCATGCTCATCACTATGTATACTGTGATAATGCTTTGACTTTATTATGTATTTCTTATTATATCTTTACTTCTTTTCTCTCTTATATTATTTTACTTTATATATTCTTTATATTATTTTCACTCTCCCTCTTTATATTCATATCTCTTATCTTATTTTAAATACTTTAATTAATTTTTAATAAATCTTTATTTATTTTTTATTCTATAACTTTATCTTGCTTCTCATTTGCTCCTATTTATATATTTAATATATATGTACTTGTATCTTCATTGTATTTCTCAGTATATGTACTGCTCTATAGTATATTTATACTTTGCTATATCTATAATACTCGCTTTATTTTATTTATGTATATTTTTATCTAGTATATTATATTATATATTGTTTCTGTCGGTTCTTGTGATGTATATTATGTATTACCTCGTAATACTCTATTCAATGAATTTTATTCGCTCTTTATCTCTCCGCTCATGTATTAGTACGCTTAGCTTTTGCATATGCTCTTCAACTTGAATGATATGCTTATATATATTATGAATATATATCAATTATATATATATATAATATATATGTATAGTTTATATATATATATATATCATACCTAATTTCATTATATATATATTATTACTAAATTATTATAGCAATGTAACACTTTATAATACATATATATAAGCTTATGTTTTATATAATATTTTATATATATTTTATATATATTATAGTTATTTAATTACTATATTTCCACTTTATCTCAATTATATACATTTATTAATTATATATATATATATTATGATATAATATGATTATGGTATATATATTTTACTATCAAATATTCTGTATATTATTCACGTGCTTCTAAATGCTATAATTTTCAAACTTCTTAGCAGTTGTTTTGTTTCTCGTGTACGCTTAGTACTTACGCATATTTGCTCGCTTCGGCGCTACGTTTTCATCTTGTTGTTCTGGAATTGGAGTACGATCTTGCATATATGATTTTTTCAAGTTCCCATCTTGATTTTCTCTCTCTCATACTTTCTTGAATCTGCAGCTATATGTCACCTTGGAATTGTCTCGTTGCCTGTCTCTAATCTTTTGCAGCCTGTATCTTTAAGAGGGATTCTTTCCTAACTTGACTCACTTGTCTCGTCTCTATGAGGTCGTAGTTTCAGATTCTCCGTCTAGCTTACTATAATTTCCTATATCATAAGTCGTACTGCGGGTTATTTGCAGGTCATGTGGGATCATACGTATCGCGTTTAGAATTACTCTGTGAATACGTTAAGCTTGTTAGGGAGATGATCCTTTTACAATTCTCTTATATGGCTCTCTTTTTCCTGTTAGGCCAAGGCTCGCGGTGTGTTTTTCGTTTTATCTCTTGTGCAGATGCATGTAAATTACTTTGTGTTTAGCCTCTATGTTCTGGAATTCGATTAGGAAGGTTACTGTTCTCAATACTTTTGTTCTATAATATGTTTTTGACCAAAACTATCTTGTTCAACTGTTATATCCCTAGTAGTTCTGAAATAGAGTGATTCCAAGGATGGTCAGATGGTGAAATTTAAGTAGTTATGCCAGATATTAAAAAAAAGCAGAATGTAACGGAAGAAAGAAGAAAGGAAAGGAAAAAATAGGTCACTTTAGTGTCTAAAGAGCAGAGATAGTTTAAATCTTGTAATTTATTTTATTTATTTTTTTTGACACAAGATAATAAGTTGTGGAGCTAAGAAAACTTGTTGGAAATATATTATTTTTTTTGTTACCATTTTTATTTGGTTTATTAGATTTGCATATTAGTAATTGATTTGTAAGTTTGAAGTAAAAGGAGCTGTTATCCATGGTTGATAAACTTCAGTTAACCTGTCAACATTTTGTGACTTTAAATGAAACAAGGTTGATGACAATGTAGAGACCCGTGTATATGAAAGAAAATGTCATCCTTGCTCAAAGCGTATAAATGACAGCCACGGAGGAGCCATTAACAAAGTTCTGTAAAATGAGTTGCAAGAATAGGTCTGCCATAAAATTTAAGTGATGGAGGTGAAAGAATAACCATTTAGAGGGTAGAATTATTTGTCAGTTTGTCTTTGAGTATTTGAGAGGATGAAATAAACACATGAAGTAAACTCTTTTAAATTACTAAGAAAATTTGTGTTCTTTCTGGTTTAAGAAATTTAATTCTGCATAATGTAAGAGCCTAATTGGATGCCAGGGGTGTCAAACTCATCATACACATCCCAAATGGTCAAAGGCAGCCCACAAGGTTGCAGAATTCTTAGCTAGTGAATTAGGATTGCCGTGAAAAAAAAAATATGTGGCAGAGACAGAAAATTCATCTATAACCTCATTTTGAGACTTATAACATATATATTGCTATTGCTATTATAGAATAATGCAAGCAGGCCTTTGAAGCTGTGTACATATCAATATTTACCCTCATTTGATTTGCCCAAGATTTGGCTGAAATGAAAAATTGCACCCGAAGAGCTACGAGTTTGACACCACTGGTGCAGACCTTATGCAGTACTTATTGTTTTTAGTTTTTCAAACCATTTTAGTGTTTTTTTTTTTCAATAAGAATGGGAGTAGGTTTTTTCCAGTGGATGCCTTGCCCTGAGCAGGTTTTATTGTGACAGACGTAGAAAATGGTGTAGGTGATAAGCTCTCGTGCTGTGATATTATCTTCCACCTTTTATTTTTTGCTGTGCTTTATATTTCTATATATTTTTTTCTTTTTAGATATTTTTTGCCCATATATTTATTTTGTATAATTATTTAGGCTTGACTTCAGTTCCTTTTTTATTTACTGTTAAGTAGACAGTACAATGATTAGAATTTGATTTAAATATATATAATATATGTATATATATATATATAATATATATATTATAATATATATTATATTATATTATTATAATATATATATATATGTATATATATAATTATGTATTATATATATATGTGTGTGTGTGTGTGTTATGTATTGCTATTCTACCCAGTCTTAACTGGTAAAAGATGAGTGATGGAAGTAATTATATAATGTGGAGATTATTGTCTTCTATATGTCCATGAAGGTGGTTCTATCTGTTGCCACACACTACTGAAGAATTGATTTTATATGTAGCCTTGTTTCCCTGACTTGCTGTAGGCTATGCACTGCCACTGACCGCACTACACAGAGTTGATTTTGTCTTGCATTTGTGTGTTTTTACTTTGTATGAGCTGCACCCTGTAATGGACTGAGGGGAATCTGAAGTACTTGCACATTGATAGATGATGTTATTATCTTGCATTTTTTTCTTTATTATGATTTTTTTTTTACGCATATATACATATACATATACATATACATATATATATTTGATTACCACTACCACTATCACAACCACAACTATGACAACAACCACTATCACTGCTACTGCCACTGCACTGTCACAACTATTCCCACAATCACACCATAACTACAATAGCGACCACTACCACTGCTCCACAACCACTGCTACAACCCCTACTATCACAATCACTACCATAATCACTACCATTACCACTGCCAGTACCACTGCTATCACAAATATTGCCAACATTACTTATGCCAGTGCCATCTGCTCTTACTACTATCCCAGTTCTGATATTTCATTGTTACCACACTTTTAGAACACTGCATATTGCCTAATTTCATGTTTTTTTTTTTTAATACTTTTGGTACAACAGGTTCAAGTGAGAGTGACCACGGAGGTGATATGTAAATGCTGTGTTAATAATTCCCTTTTTTCATTAGATGTTTTGATATGTTGGTGCTGCATTGATTTTTTTTTAAGGACTTCATGTTATATTTTTGGTGTGTATTTACTTCATCATGAAAGCACTGACAGATGTCTAGCTCCTTTCAGCTGTTACGATCGCCTTTTTCAGATTCCGATAGTACCAGTAGTGAAACAGAAGTCGAAGAGGAAGTGAAGAAGGAGGAGGATGTCATGGAAGCAAAAGATACAGGTGAGTATGTGTCGCCTTTGTGAGGAGACGAGCTTTTATCATATTTTATTGATAATGGCTCTGAAGTGGCTCGCTTCTTTTCTCTGGTACACTGGGACTGTAGATGTATAAGAGATGAGAATAATGTGATGTTTATGTCGTGCCTTTTTGGTATACTTTTAAGGGGAGGAAAAAAAAAAAAAAAAAAAAAAAAACTAGTTTTGTCATTAATGGGAATTTCAGCTATTCACCCTTTTCTTCTTGCTTGTTTTCTTTTCTTTAATTGCTTAATTAGGTTTTGATTTATGGTCAGAAGAATGAAAGAAAAGAAAAAGAAATGTAGATTTTCAGAAGAATGTCTCTCAATATTTCTTCAAAAAGAAACAAAAAAAAAAAAAACTGAATTTTAACCACATGCTGCTGGGGTAATTTAGTAATTGTTTTTACATATAGATCGCCACAACTAAAGTAACCAGTGAGCCAGTTATGAGAACTACCTGTTTATCATCCTTGATATTATTGCTGTTATTTAATACTGTTGTTAGTAATAGTAACATTATAGTAATTATGATATTTATAATAGAAATAACAGTATCAATATTGATAGCATTAGTGAAAAAAGCATTTTCCCGCAAACTGAATGAAATCAGGTGACTCCTTTATGGGTGAGCGCTGGCAGAGCCATCTATGTGCAGAGACATTTGATAGAGTAATACTAAAGTGAACACAACATTTTCCCAGAGTTAAGAATTGAAGCAAAGCTGTAGGATGCAGTCGATTAAAGATAATTTTATTGTTTTCTGTCACCTCGTACCTGGGATCGTCCCCAGAAGAAATAGGGGAGAATGATCGTCCTTGTGTACAAAATAAATTAATTTTTGTGATGTATGGATAAATATGATAAACGGGTTAATGGCAGTTGGTGGTTTGTATTCTCTTCACACTGCTCAGTTGTATTTCATGGGCTACAACATTGATTGGTGTCCTAAATATATAGGTTTTCAAAACCATGAACCATATTCATCTAGACAAATGTAGAAAAGGTATGAATGAGCATGAATATCCTCACAATACAAGACTGGTTTTGAATATATCTTCATCAGATGATACATGTATTTCTGACAGAGATATGTTTGGAACTTATCAAAATACATCTCTTGCATTGTGAAGATATTCATTCTCATTCATACCTTTTTTTTTACATGTATTCAAAACCAGTCTTAACTCGGTTTATGTCCTCCCGCCATAATACTTCCCATCCCCTTCAGACATCCGCTTAACCCTTACGCTTTCTTGATTATTTTATTGTAATTAAGTCTCTTCTCTTTCAGCTGCCGACCAGTTGTCAGTGTCAGGGAGTGGATCAGCATCAGCGAGGTCTGGCACTTTGTCTCCCTCCCAGGCAGGACGTTATGAGGACTCACCCAGGTACTTCTATTGAATGATTTTTTATATACATTTATATGTATGTATATCCACACATATGCACAAATATATACAAATATATACATATAATGTGTGTGTGTGGGGGGGAGGTAGGAATATTATGGGTATATCTATGTATATGTATATATGTTTATGTGTATATATGTATGTCTATATATTATTAAAAAAAAAAAAAAAAAAAAAAAAAAAAAAAAAAAAAAAATATAATATATATATATATATATATATATATATATATATATATATATATATATATATATATATGTATGTAATGTATGTATGTATGTATGTATATGTATGTATGTATGTATGTATGTATGTATGTACCTATGGTAAAATTCTTTAAAGTAGGTAATGCATATGATAATGTTCTCTATAATTAGCAGAGTAGAGGATCGTCGTTCAGACCGAGAAGAGGCAGAGTATTTGGATGACTCTCCCCCAGAATCTCCGGTAGAGTTGAAGGAGCAACTGCCTTCGTACTATCCAGCCATCATGGGATGCCGTTCAGTCGATGAGTTTGAATGCCTCAATAGGTATGTGTTTTTTTATTAATTATGTGCGGAAGGATAGTACATTCGTTCCCTTCTGCCGATGTGAATTGATGTCAGAATAGTAGAATTTTTAGATGTAGAAGGTATGAAAGCTTTCAGTAGATGTTTCTGATAGCCATTGGACCCAAAGTTTCCCTTTTTATTCATAATAGCCAGTGAACCTAGAGTTTTCGGTTGTATTTATGATAGCCAGGTGAACCAAAGCTTACCGTTGGACTTTTCAGAATTGAAGAAGGAACATATGGGGTGGTCTATAGAGCCAGGGAAAAGGCAACGAACCAGATAGTTGCCTTGAAAAGACTGAAAATGGAGAAGGAGAAGGAGGGTTTCCCCATCACGTCGCTGCGAGAGGTCAATACGCTGTTGAAGGTTAGTGTGTCCTTAGAGTATGGTACTTGGAAATGGAAATGGAAAGTGTTAGTAAATGATCTTGTTCTTGTTTTTGTTCTTCATCATCCTCTTATTCATTTTCTTCTTCTTCTTTACTTCTTCTTGTTCTTCTTGTGTCTAAAAGTATGTACAGTCTTTATTTTTGAGTGTAAAGTATATTGCTAGTGTGTTTTTTTTATGATGTTTGAAAATATATTATTATTTTTATTTTGAAAATATATAAGTAGAATAGGTTTAAGTGTGAAAAATAATTGCCATTATTATTGGGTAACCGTACATGTTGCTTGAGAAAGAAAGAACGTTTGATAACTTTGAAGTGATTGCGCATAGCATTTAACAAATGTAGTTATATATGTTGTTTGGTATTTAGGCCTAGCATGATTACAGAGAATAATAATGATACCTTAAATTTTCCTCACAATCCACAGGGCCAGCACGAGAACATTGTGACTGTGCGAGAAATTGTTGTGGGGAGCAACATGGATAAGATTTATATTGTAATGGATTATGTGGAACATGACCTGAAGAGCTTGATGGAGACAATGCGTCTGAAGAAGCAGATGTTTACTATTGGAGAGGTCAAGACGCTCATGATACAGCTGTTAAGAGCTGTACATCACCTACACGACAACTGGATTCTGCACAGGGATCTTAAAACTTCCAATCTGCTGCTTTCACATCGAGGAATTCTAAAGGTATATTGCGTGTGATTTACTATGGTATTTGCAGATTTTAGTATTATGACTGATCCCCCCCCCAAACTTTGACTAAATATATTTCTGAGAAATATGGAAATTCTCCAAAATTCCAATAATATGAAATAACAACAGTGTCCATGAGTTGCCCTTAGAGTGTTTATTTACCAGACATTTTCTTCTCTTCAAGGTGGGTGATTTTGGGCTGGCCAGAGAGTATGGATCGCCACTCAAACACTACACACCTATCGTTGTCACACTGTGGTACCGAGCACCCGAGTTGCTGTTAGGATCCAAACAATACTCTACGCATATCGATGTGTGGTCTGTTGGATGCATTTTTGGAGAACTGCTAGGCATGGAGCCCATGTTTCCTGGCAAATCAGAGATTGATCAACTGAACAAAATTTTCAAGGTAAGTTGGGAAAGGGTTAATTGGTATAAAGAGAAGGAGAGGAAATGGTATAGAGATATGTTACACACCCACAGGAGTATGCATACATATTTGTATGAGCTGTATATTTTCTTCCTTTTTAAAGTTTATTTGTTTATATATTTTTATTAATACTCAAGGGATGTAAGCATATATTTATCATTATCAGTGTCACCTTAATGTCCAGAAAGTATTAATGCTGAGTTGCGCATCTTGTTGGCAGGACCTGGGAACGCCGAGTGAAAAGATCTGGCCTGGGTACAGCCAGCTGCCCTTAGTGAAGAAGACTCAGTTTGCAGATTATCCATACAATCATCTCCGTGAGAGGTTCAAGACAAGGCTGTCCGACCAAGGCTTCAACCTGCTCAATAGGTCAGTTGATCCCCAGATGGTAGTAGTATTGGATCTTTGAAATAATTTTGTCACCTATTAATTTCTTTCTAACCCTTTACTGACGGGCCTACTGGGGTCTTGACGTAATGGCATATGACATGTATACATGTCATAACTCACTCTAGCAAGCGAGCGGGTGAACCGGCTGTACACAACACATACCCCGTCAGAAAGAATACATTATTGCGTAATTATCACATAACAGAAAATTCTGGCTGTCATGATATTGTTAACCTTCAATTTTTTTTTACCTTTTTTTTTCAGATTTCTGACCTACAACCCACCAAAGCGCATTACCTGCCAGGAGGGGCTGTATCATGAGTACTTCGATAAGGAGCCTCCTCTGCCCATTGACCCTGCCATGTTCCCCACCTGGCCAGCCAAGTCAGAGAACCCGCACGGCCGCTCCAAAAAGACGGGCATCAGTCCCAAGCCCCCGTCAGGAGGGAAGAACTTCAAGGATCTGGTAGGTTTCCTAGAATCTTTTGAGATTTTATTGAGCATATTTGTCGAAGATGTTTTAGGGTCTTTTACGTAACACTTTTGAAGATGAATAATTGCTTGTAATTGCTAATGGCCTTGTTCATGCAGTCATATATCCTATTTTATGAACTATTTAATGTATATATGGGATCATGGTTTTCATTTGAGTAAAAGAATAAGATGCAACTCACCGTCACAAATACCAACCCAACAGTAGTGTTGCACCTCTAGGTTCGTGTTGAATTTCAGAAACCCCTACGCAGTTGTGCTAATAATTCTTTTCGGAGACTGTACCTTTCGGTTTCATATCTGTACCCTAAGTTTTCTTGCAGTTATTTGGTATATTGATTTGGATTTATGTTGTATAAAATTGGGGCTGAATTTTATATTAATGTGAAAGAAAAGTTCTTAAACAAAAAATCTTGAGCATAGTGAACTTACTATAGACAAGCATTGCCACAGTGCCAAGTTTCTGTTATATTGGTAGTTAATGAGACCAGTTTCACAATCTTTTTATTACCTGCATATTAGTGTTACAGATTTGCAAACAAATGTAGATGAGTATGCATCGCTGTGAATGGTATTGATTAATCTAAATGTATGTTGATGAATTCATAGTAGTGACAGTAATGATTGCAAATAAAAATACCTCCTTGTTCAATTAACTCAGGTTGATGAAACTGAAGAACTTGCGGCCAGAGGATTCTTCGTGGGTGGAGCGAATTCCAGTGGGCCAGGGTTCGTGCTGAAGATGTGAGGAGAAGACTTCGGCAGTTTAGAAAATATACTGAAGGCTTCGGATTTTGCCGGGATTGTAAATGGGTGGAATATTTTTATTTCTTTTACCGATATTTTTTCCCCATTTTGGTGGGAGAGGCGACGTGTTGGGTTTGTTGAATTTCAGTAATGAAATAAGGGTATAGATTTATTTATTTTTTTTTTTTTTGAGTGAATTCAGCCGCAGTTTCTTGTTTAATCTTGTAACATAGAAAAGGTATGCACTATTTTTCTTCATCAATTATATTAGACTTTGGAATAGTGATACAAAACCTAATGACAGGAATTTTAAGACTCCTTGAAATGTACATTTTGATTAGATATTTATGGCAAATCCGTGAATGTCATGTTTTTATATTTAGGTTTCTTTTTTAGCAGTATGGAATATTAATTGTTTTAAATTATTGATAATACAGGTGAGCAGATTCTAGATGGGTTTCCCTGAAATACTGTGTATTCTCCTAGGGATTTTGTATATAAAACCTGAATAAAGTAATTTTTATATGATGTTTTTATTTTTCATTCACGTGTGCTTTGCAAGCATGTACTGCAAATTCCAAAAATGATTTCATAACCAAAAATGGAAAACAGAAATCCAGGATCCAATGCAAAAAGTACTTCAGAAATATTCTGAATTCCTTATATTTCAGTTTAAGATGATATTTTTAGCAGTCCTTTATTCTCAAACTTGCTTTCTTGGCATTTCATATTCCAAAAGAAATGTCTTGTGAGCCTTGTCTTGTCCTTGCGTGAAAGTTTCGTTTATTTGCCAAGGCATCAACTTTGTCAGTGTTGCTTAGTAATTTATCAGTTAATTTGGACATTCTATCTCTATCAAAGGCCTGCATTTACTACTTCCTTAGGGTATGGAAGGGATCTTTGCTAAATGTGTATCTGAGTGAGCATTCACTTCTAGAAATGTAAGTAATTCTAAAAAAAGCTAAATGGATGAAAATTTAATCTCTTTTTCTAGGTAGATATTCAAAGAATGCTCAAACATGATTGTGAGTTGGAAATCCTTTGAAATTCTGTGTTATTCCTTCTTTATGCATTCTCCGTCACTGATATTTGATTATAAAAGTCGTATGCAATCAATATTGTCAAAATAGCTTCTCATTTTCATGATCATTACCGTTATTGTTGTCAGTATATCGAAGTATACTCACTTTAACAGTTGGAATTAGTCCCACAACCTGAGAGGAACATATCTAGAAAATCTAACTTTAAACAGAGCATGTCACCTTCCGTTGGCAGTGCTAGTGATAATGTAACTGCTGTATTCATAACATGATCAGTACCAGCAAACGTATGAAAACCAGAGAAAAATATATCAATCTGTGATCTATTTACTAATATTTGTATTCATAATATTCATATTTTTCATAATGTCATATTTTTATATGCATGGTATTCATGTTTATAATTTTATATGAATGCATAATCATCTCTTTTAAGTTATGTTATTAATTTTTTGCATTTTTTTGTGGCTGTCATTTTTATGTTTTTATGAAAAATGAATAAGGAAGACGAAGGAAGAACAGTAAACGAGACCAATATTAATGATGATGGAATGAATAACACACCAAAAAGTAGCTTTGTTTACCGTTTCACAAAATGAGACTGACCTACAATCGAAAACACTGGATGCATATATATATATAATGAGGACTTCGTGACTGACACTATCAAAGGCCTTTGATAAGTCGCACAATGTGAGCAAGTTTATACGGTTGTTGTCTATATTCTCATAAATATTATTTGTAATCTGCAATAATGCTGTTTCAGTGGACAGCTTACCTGAAGCCATGTTGCTGTGTTGGTCTAGATAGTATGTGTCATATGTTCTAGAAATGTTGTCAATTGGTCTGGCTATGATTTTTTTTTGAGACCTTCGACAGTGTAGGGAAGTATGGTAATTGGGCGATAATTATAACTTCGTCTTGTGGCAGATTTGAAAACTGGTGTTTATTAGCCATGTTTCACAAAGAGCGACCAAAAGATGTATTAATGATAAGCGTTAAATAATACGCCAAGCAGGGTGGGCTGTCTCTGTGAAGAGCGATGAGAGCAATGCATCCACTCACAGCATTTGTTTTATTGTCAGGATTACGGTTTCTATTTGAACAAGTTGTGGTCTGAAACTATGTGGAGGGCCTTATCCTACTCTGTATTATTGTTTAAATTGGGAATGAATTTGTTTGTTCATTTGTGGAATGTGAAAATGTCCAATTTTTAGCGAGAACTCGTCAAACTCATTTGCACTAATTTTGGTGTTTAGATTAATATCTTTATGATGGTTTTTGTATGGGACAGTGTTTTTAAAATCTTCCATGTTGTTTAGTTGAATCTTTTTTACAATTTGTTAATCTAATTTCTAATATAATCTGTTTTAGCTGTGTGTGAGTAGATTTTACATATTCCTCTCCTGGATTGTTTTATTTGGAGTCTATAGCCTGGAGTGTCATGTCCTTGTTATTGATTTGAGAGCTTTAGCAAATATTTTTATCTGTAATGGCTCTCCTGATGTCGGTCGTTTACCATGAGGACGGAGGACATCTATATTTTTTGTAACAAGGCGGCGATGGCATTTATACCATCATTGGATCACATTTAACAAATTGATCACATTAAGACTGAACACATTTACGCTACTTGTCTTACGTTATCTGTTTGGCAAAATTTGTAAAAGAGTTGATTCTTTGGATTATGAGTTGGCAAATGACTGAGGAATCATAATTGGCTAATTGACGAAAGCTTTTTGGTAATTGGTGGTCGTTTTTAGACTTTTACTAACATCTAGTGTGCACTGGTGTATGTAGAGTTCGTGGTCGGCGTAACATGGGCATGGAGTACTGTGCTGTAGTGCGAGGAAATGTCGCGTCTGGTTTGTTATTAATGGTACATCGAGATTAATGGATGAAGTATTTTCTGGTTTGATTCTTGTCGTAGTTTTACAGGTTGTTCAATTGTGTTTTCATTATGCTTAGGTGTATGTATATGTATAATTAGTGATGGTGTGTGTTGTGGTGGTGTGTATACACATCACATAACACGGGAAATCGCTAGCATAGCGTCAGGCTGAGTGCACAGTTAGTGGCTAGTGTGTCACATGCTACGCATCGTTAGTTATGGTAGTATGATATATAGGTGTGTGATTATTATTGATTAGGTGTGTGTATGGTGTTTGGTTAGGTGTTATAATATAATAGTATAGTGTGTTAGGATGTTAGTTCTGTTAGTTTAGTTTAGTTAGTTGTGTATGAGCGTGGTATGTGTATGGTAGTTATATACTGTGTGTTGATACGTGGTATTGTAGGCATATGAGACGGCTAATGATGTAACTAGTGTCGATACACATATGTATACAGCATCAAGACAGCACTAGCATACGAGACAGCACACTACTAGCTACACAATACACAGTGATAACCCTGCACTGATACACACGAGCACATGGATTAGTATAGTTTTAGTTATATGATAATATATATATATATAATGAGTAGTTTATATATATATTATAGATGAGTATATATGAGTATACAGATTTATAGTAGTTATGAGATATATTATATATATAGTATATGATTTATAGTATATATAAGTACATCACATGAATATATAGTATGAGTATTTTAATGTAAATATTTAATAATGAAGTAATTAGTATATAGTTATATTATAGATATACGTAGTAATATATGAGTGATATAGGTATGATAGTATAATATATATATATGTAAAGGTGTTATTTAGGTGTGTTAAATATAGAATACTGAATAATGATAAGTATTGAGTAGTATATATAGTGAATTTGTATGATATAGTATATGTGTTATATAGTATAAGAGTAGTAGAATTGTGTTATATATATAATGAGATTATATATGTATATATACATTATGTGATGAGTATATATATATATAGTTGATTATGATATAGTAGTAGATATAATAGTTATGATGAGTATGTAGTATAGTGTAGTATGAGTGGATTAGTAGGTGAATAGATAAATAAGAAGTAGTATTAGTGATTATATGAGTGTTATAATATATATTATACGTATTAGTAGTTAAGATAGTATATGAGTATTATAGTATGGTTATATAGGTAGTATATAGTGATAGGTGGTGTGTACTTAAGGTGTGGGGATAGAGTTGTGGTAATGGGAGGAGGGGACTGTGTTGGCTTGCTGGGGTTTATTGGAAGGATAAGACGTTAGCCCAGAAGGTGTAGACCCCGTGTCCAGATGACAGTTTTTTGGTTCTTGTGCTGATGTTTTCTGAATGTCATCTGAGCAACTTCTGTTTAGTCTCCTCTGTTCTGCTCTGGTTCTGCCTGAGCGACAACATCTTATAGTCAGCGAAGTGGGCATGTTCGCTGCTGTCGGTTTGGTGATTGTACGAAGGTCTGATATAGTACTTGAGTATAGAGACGGTGGCGTGTGGTACGCATAATGGTACGTGTTGGGTGTTCCATTCTTGCACGCGGTCGGTAACAAAGGGGTGAGTTTCGACTAAGTAGAAGACGAAGTGTACTTATGGCTGGGCAAGGAAGGTACGTAAGGATACGGAAGCACCAGGTAAAGTAATGGCAATCATGCATAACAACTCTAGGTGTGAAGCATACACCCATCGTATGGCATACTTGTTGGACATATATATATATATAATAATATATATTTAATATATATATTATATATATATAATAGGTGATAACTTATATAAGTAGAATTAATTATATTAGGAGTAGTATAATTATATTATACACTATGTTTTATGTATGTATGTATATGTTTGTATAGTAAGCTATTAGCAACTTGTTTATGAATATGGCAGTAAATGAGTGAACGCGCTACGAGGTGCTGTGATCATACCAGTCGTAAACTTTCCGTCATGACTGTTGAATTAATGTTGTACCTGTGTCTTCAGCGTAGTCTTTCCTGACCGAAGTTGAATTAAATAACAATGAAGGTTTTTCAGATGGAGCGATACCCGTTTGACTCTAGTGTACGTCAACGCCGAGTGAAGACCTTCTCCCGAGAGGCAGGTACATGACGCATGCTAAAGTTTATAAGTAATCTGCGCAGAGGAATTGTTTGCGCACGAAAATTAAGTGACGTAACACAACAGAAGCTCTTGCTACAGTTTGGAAGGTTAACTCGATCACGTGACGTCGTCCCAGCACATAAGCGGGCTTTGAAATTCCTAAGCATAGATCACTAATATATCGCTCAGCTTCGTTCCTCACGACAATGAACCTTGGTCATCGCGTTATTTTTATATGGTATTAGGTTACTCCTGCTGTCGTCCTCGCTCAACTTCCAGTCCTGGGTACACTGATACATTGGTATTTTAGTCTACCTTCTCTACTTTTCCGGACGTATAAAAATAGCCAACAAACAAATAATATACCTAACATATCAATCCAATCCTTGATAGACAAAGAAAATAAATACAAAGCAAAAACAAAAAAACACGCACAAAGAATTTTCTTGTCTCGAT